AATTGCTTGCTCTTTCCCAATCTTATGCTAAAATTAGCTTTTAATGTGGTACATACATATGTATGTACATATGTTTATGAGTGCAAAAAAAAAAAACACAGAGATCAACAACTTTTTGGTGATACATTTTAATGACGATTAAGTGACAAGAAAGTAGATTTTCACCACCAAGCCAAACAATTTAAGAGATTTGCTTCAATAGAAAGATTTTATTTGGTGTAAAATAAAAAAAAAAATGAAAGAAATATACACTTGAAGTACAACATAACACTGACACATTATTACGCCTCAAATGTTTCACGGCAGCCCTCTCCCAACGCATAATTACACACAAACTGCCTTTGTTGGCTTTGTCCAAACGAGTATGTCATGAGCAGTGTTGCCCAAATTTTTTTTTATTTTTTACCAAAATCACCGGAAAACGTTACCAAATTCAACAAAAAAAATTACCAAACTTATTTTATGTGAGAACTGATCAAAACAGCTCTAACCGCCAAAATAAAGTAAGCCACTTTTTTCAAAATTTTCTTTTTGATGCAGAAATATTCCTAGAGCTTCTAGATACATTTCTGCATGAAAAGAAAATTTTGAAAAAAATTTCGCTTACGTTATTTTGGCAGTTAGGGCTCGATATGTATATCCGAAGATACCAACCTTTTCATGCAATCAGAGCTCCATTCATCTAAAATTTTGAGGAAAGTTTGTTGAATTTTTTTAGCTATTTAACGAAGTGTGAAATTTGAAATTTTTGGAGTTTTGTTAAGGAAAGAACAATATTTAAAAAAAAATAACCAAATTAAATTACAAAAAAAAAAAAAATAATATGTTAAAACTTGTCAAAATATGGTGCGGCTATAAGTTTTTCGACCACCGTATCTAAACAAGTGACAAGAAAATATATCAAAACTTTAACGCTTGATGGAAAACTTTCGACTCACACATAAATAGACAGAGTAAAGTCCCTCGCTGAATACCGTAGCTTTACGTAGAATTCTACTCATATATATGGTTGCCGGGTACACCGGAAAATTGATGGTAATTGCAACGCTGACGAACTGACAGGGAAAGTACGACCTCTCGAAACCTTCCAGGAAGGGACACGATGGATATACTTAGCAATAGCCACTTTCAAGCAGTTTGTAAAAGATTACATCCTCCTAGTAGCCAAGGAATGCTGGAACAACTTTCGCCTTGCGAAACTTTCAGGATTACTTGGTATTTCTATAAAGGGAAACACTTACCGGCCACTTACTAATGTGCAATCAGAACCAATATTGACATATTTGACATGTATAAACGAATCGAAAAAGTTACCAAATTGAAAAATAAATTTTCAAATTACCAAACTTGATAAATAATGAAAAAAAGTACCAATTTTGGTTAAAAATTACTAAAGCGGCAACGCTGGTTATGAGTTTTAAAATTAGTTTTTATTTTACTCCGCGCCGCTGGCATTATTTTTCCAGTTGCTGTTGTAACTTTGTATAACTGTAGTTACCCATTTGTTGTACCACAAAATTTAATATTTTATGGCTCTGCCGCCAGCTGTTTGGCTTTCAGCAGAATGTAGCGCCAACTGCTTTAGTTTGCTACCACGCTTAAGCAGATCTTTCGTTTAGTTGCTGAATAGGCTTTATTTTCCATCCACTTAGTTAGAAACACTTCTGGGTGACCTAAATATTTGTGTTTTTTCGTGTATTCAATTAACAATGGGCTAAGTAAATATTTACCTTACTTTTTAGCCGCTGAGTGACAGTTGAGTGAAGTTTTGATTGTTGATGCTGTTAGCGAATTGTTGGAGTTGTTAAGTTTTTTGTACTTTGCTAACTTTAACTTCTATTCACTTCCATTCTAAATAGTATTGAACATTTTTTCGAAGCATTTGAAAGGCAATAAGGTGTTGATGTACTGTGCCCACTCGGGCACCACCACTACCAGCGGCTAGTAATTTTGCTGATGATTTAGCGAGTGCGACCAACACCCCAATTATCACATAATACTTGTCGTAAAAAAAAGCATAACTACCAATTTAACTTGACAACAAGAACATTAACAATATTAAGAAGAAGATGGCACAACGTCGAAACCGGTTTGTCTCCAAACCAAATTTGAAAAGGGACAACGGAAAATCGTTCTACAATACATCATACTCCTACCCTGTCGGAAACATAAACAACCAAAAAGAAGGTAATATATGTATAACGCCCTTACGTTCCTTGCACTTCCATATTTAAGTTAATTTAAAATATGTACATATTTTTAGCTGGCTTCAGTGATCATGATCTGATGATCCCGCATGCACAGATCAAGGACTTAATAGGACACCGTCTGCAATATGTTTCCCAAGTAAAGTATTTCCTAAACACTTAAGGTGACCAACCTCAACGAAACAACTATTGGCTTGGATTTCTGTGCTGGCAAGCTCTTTTCTGGACTAGGCCAAAAGGACAGCAGAAAACTACCCGGCTGGAAATATTTCTTTTTTTTTTGTTTTTAGGCTTTTTCTCTTGACCTAAAATTTTGTTTATTAATTTTCATCCGCTTATATCCACTTATCTCTATTGCAATTAAATTTTTAAAATTAATACCTTCGTAAAGTGGCAAGCCCATTTATTCCTATATTGATGAAATTTTTTGCTTTTTTGCCGTTTTGATTCACTTTGATTACCTTTCCACTGTTGTTCGATTGACCGCTTTGGTGACGCATTTTGTTTTTGCTTTTAGCGGGGCATTGTCAAGTTTCAGATATTCTCCTTCACAGAATGGAAAAGGACGACAAAAAATACAAACACTGTCCATTTTCACTCACTCCCTAGCGAACTACAAAATTTTGACAATCAAACGCTATTCACAACTGATGAAACAGCACCACCCTATATAAATTCTCCTTGTTATAAAGTATAAAAAAAATACAGCTAAAAATTATGTTAATATTATATTTTTTTGGTTTGCTTTTGAGAGCATTTTATATTGAACCTCAGAACAAAATGTGTTTAAAAAAGTAATTTTTAAGCAAAAACAAAACCGACTTCAATTATCATATACAAATTTAAGAGTACCGCTAATTTCTTCATGATCCAATGATCGGAACTATACAGTAAATATTAGTATGGGACCACCTGTGAGGTACTAACTTTCCTTTAAAAAAGAATTATAGAAATCGGTTAACGTGGTCCAAATTATGCGGTAACATACATAAACAAATAAGATCCGACGAATTGATAACCTCCTCCTTTTTTGAAGTCGGTTAATAAATTTAAAAGTGAGATGAAATTAAGAAAAAATAATAGGAATAAAAAAACTTTGATCGCAAAGTTGCCATCTACAAGGAAGGCGCATCCATCTTGCTGTACCCTGTACGTCCATGGTGTTGTAGTATTGTAGTCGACCTAAGAAGCATTCTAATGGATGTTCTGGGAGAAGGCGGCAGATATTTTTCTCAAAAGCACTTTTCTCTAGTGCACTCTTATTTGCAGAGCATTTCTAACAGCGAAGGAGTACAATACAAAGTATCTCAGGGCAACACATACAAAGTCCTCGCGTATTGGGATACAAGTCACTTTTGGCAGTTATAACTTTGAAGTAGTGAAAGACTTTGTCTACCTAGGATCCAGCATAAACACAACCAATAATTAAGGAATATGCGACCTTTAATACTATCTCGACAAGTTGAGTGGAAGATCGACTTATCTCAGAATTTGGTCCAAAAACGTCCTATCTCAACTGAAAATATGTTTAGACGACGAAAAAAGAGTGGGCTCTACAAATCTCTCATCATAACGGTTTTTACATGATGCAGAAACGTGGACGATGACGAACAAAGGTGAAAAGGCTTTTTTATATTCCAAATTAAGAGAGAATCTTTCGTTACTCTCCTGCAAGTTGCAGCTGGAAATGACTAGTGTGGCATGTTCTGAATGATTTGTGATTTTTCGGAACTTTTGGTGGCTTACGAGACTTTTCTGGAAATTCTTAGGGGCTTTCGGTAACACTTGGTATTTTATGGAAAAATGTCAGTTGGTTTCGCAATTTTTCGAAATATTTCGGGAATTTTTGGAATTTTCTCGGTAATCTTCACGGATTTCAACTAAAAAATAAAACTAAAAAAACAAGAAACAATTTCTTGTTTATATCTGCTAAAAAATTTCAAACAAATTTTTTCTTTTATTTTTGCCTTTTGTGATCAAAATAATAAAAGTCAAAAGACAACTAACCTTTTTAGCTTTTTATTATGAAATGCACACTTTCCGGCTGGATGTGTATATTTATATGAAGACAATTCGGGAGACATTTCTGCCTGCTTATAATTTAAGACTTATTAAAGCAAAAACACAATTAACTCGTTTAATTGAATTTACATACCATTAAAATAGATATGTATGTATGTAACTGAATGCCACAATTCAATGCAAAATATATAAATTTTACCTAATTATGAATTTCCTCAATAAAAAAAAAAAATCGTAAGTAAACCAAGAATTATAATTAAACACCAAAGCCCAACTGAATGTCAACGCGACACTGAGTGCCACACAAAGTGAAATAATCTAACCGGTAATGTTTTGGTATGGGAATTTTTCCGCAATAAACAATTACAAATGTCGCCGAGTGGCTCAGTCTGCTAACTAGAAAAAACTGCGGAGCGCGTAATGACTTTGGAATTTACGATCAATGTTTTTTTTGGGCTGTGACGGATATTATTTATTGCCATGAATTTTGNATACGAAAAGAAAAACTACTATGTGTCTATCACTTCTGTTGGCTGAATTCTTTCGGTACGATGACACCAAGCGCCAAAGGCAATTATTAATGTGTTCAAACAGATTGTAATCTGTGTACGTTCATTAGTATGTGTGCGTATATAGGTATGTAAAAAAAAAAATACTCACTATAGAAGTAGCGTGTTGTAGGAAGTCAATAATTGTGAGTGCTTAGCAGGGTATAAATAAACGATTAAGTAACTTACCGCGCTAATAAATCCGCTTAGCGAGTGTTGCTTTATTTGATTGCTCCACGTCCAAAAGGTGCTGAATTGTTCTGTTTTTGTTATTATTTTTCTTATTTTTTGCTTTTTTCTGTTCTTTAAAAAATGGTTGGTAGATATTGCGCGCGTTTGTTGGTTGTTGTTGTTTTTGTTTTTCAACTTAAAATACCTGTAAGGTAATATGATTTGTTATTTATGATTTTACTGTGATCACTATTTTTATTGATGATTTAAAATAGACAATTTTGCAGCAAAATTTTAATGGACCAATCGATGCTGAGTTTTATTGCCGTTTACAGGTTTTTTGTTGTAGCAATTAGACAAGTAACTGTGCATTAATTTAGTGTGAAGTGTAAACAATGGATTTGATTTGTGCTTTAATCAAACTTTGTTTATAACCTAGACCGTTGATTCTATAGCAAATTTACAAACAAGTTTTTGCTAATCCCTCGTTTTGGGTATAGAAACAGTACTATTTTAACGTTCATATATATGTATACATGCATAAATATGTACGAGTTTAAAGATTTTAATACTTTTATGAGCCAAGCGATTATATTTTTTTACATTTTACTTATGTATGTATGTACGTGTTTATTAGCTTTGTTCGTTTTGTGTGTTCTTACTCATAACAAAAATCAATATTATTGCAATTATTAAGCACTTCAATTTGAAATCGACTCATTTTGAATTTCCTAATGGTAAGTACAATTCTAAATCCAGGTTGAAACCTGTTACTTTATTTTTTTTCCATCAAACCGTATATCAACTTGGCTCACGGCTCTTTATTCAAATGAGATTATTTCTGTTAATTAAAAAACTTGACATAAATTTTGGGAAATCGTAAAACCATAATTTTATTTTAACTTAAAGGTCGCATATACATTTTGGGCTGTTTAAAGACTGAACGTAATTTTTTGCATGAAAAAATATTAGTGACTTGAAAGCTATAGAGCGATTTTTGGTCATTTAAAAGCGTGAAATTAAAAATTGACACTGAAAAACTACGATAATCTTAAGTCATAGAAAAGTAGATTTATTTACTTATAACACCGTGTGGCAGTAAATTTTACACACAAATAAATGAATATATTCGCGAAACTATGGGTAAATTATAGTAAAACTGCGTACTTAGTTTTTCTCTCTGATGTTAGGTTTTTTAAGGGACTTTGAAATTTAAAAAAATATGCTTATTTTAAAAAAATTTGTTAAAAATTCGGTGCATTTTAGGATAACAATAAGGTATCATATAAAAGAAAAAAATCTGTAGAATTATAACAGATTATAACTGGACGGAGTGGTGCGATCCGTTAAAATAAGTCTACTTGCCTGCGGAAAACGGCCAGCTCTGGTCTATTGCGAATGAACGAATATGAAATAAAATGAAACGAAGCAAACAAAGCATATGACTTTACTGCCCTCGGTAGCCGACTACTAAAACTCAGTAGAACCCATGTTTGATCAACTTTCCGATAAATATTTAAAATTATATATTTTATTTTATTATATATGTATTTTATTTTAATCTAGTCTTGCCGCACGCGCCTTTCTTACTTCGTAAAATTATGATCGCATCAACTCCGCCCTTAATCCGGATTACCGTCGCTATGTGTTTATGCTCCGACTAATATTTTAGACAAATTTGGGCATACAAACTGTGCTTTGCATCCGTCCGGGACAGTAAGAAATTGAAGGGAAAGATTATGTAGGACAGGATTTAATCACAATACGTTCAATAACTGTTCATAAGCACGCTACGCACAAGATCGGCCCTACTCAAATATTTATTTAAACACTTTACATAATTTACTTAAAAAAAAATCAATCCTCTTTTAGCAATATTCAAATAATTTTCTTAACTCATTTCTATTCGTATAAATTCCAAATTCAGCCACATGAACTAACCAAGTTCGTGTCTTAAATCTTTTGTTTAAATTTTAATTTTTTCCCATTTAGCATTACTTCCTAGCGCTGTATAAATGCATTTACATGCATATTTTATTTAACTTCGCTAAGGCTAAATTTTCTACAGATGGCCCTGGGTACATGTATCATTTTCTGACACCGTTAAACACACATACAGCATTCAATCAACTACTTTTCTACCTTGACGATGCTGTAACTCTAAAAGCTTTGCGCTATGAAAAGTTATCACCTCTTCTTCATTCGCGGCTTTCTTTAAATGTTCGTTAACAAATAAATATTTATTTCTCTGATTTGTACTCGTATTTCTCGTTCCTCTGTAATTCTGATTCTCTCTTAACACTTGCACTACACTTTCTTCGTGC